ACCATCCTTAAATAACTCTTCTTGTTTCGAACGCCATCCATAAATACCAATTTTCCGTCTCCATTGTCTCCAATGTATACCTAAACTGTAACATGACCATTGCCTTGCTCGCCGTAAGCTGTTGGGACAAGAACGTAACAGGAAGCTAGGACACGAAAAGCACGATTCCAAGTTCATTCCACTAAGATTTGGGCGCTTCCCCTGGCAAATTGTAGCCTGAGATTCATATTACGTTCGTGTACGGCGAGAATAGCAATGGAGTTGGAAAATTAGTATTTGTGAATGGCATTCTAAACAAGTAGAGTTCTTTAAGGATATTGAAGGAATACTTGAAAGAAAGAGAGAAAAAACTTGGTGTTTTGGAACAACCAAATTCTACCAAAACAATGACCTCAAGCCTAAGTCCTGCTTAATCCAAGAGCGGCTCTTATGTAACTGCTGCAAGGCGCTTCACCCTCTTCCCACATCTCTAGGCATGAACGCCATCAAAATATGTGAGATAAATTAGACTAGAGATTAGATTAGTGTGTGGAAGTACTGAACACTTTACGCCCAAGACCGGAGAAACAGACTATAAGAGGAATGGAGAAAGATCCCTGTTTCCTACATAAGATAAATTACACAAAATATGTCAAACCGTTTAAATGAAGTTATTAAGTAAAAAGGATACCCTACGGAATATTAATCCTTAATAATATTCTGTTTTTTCCTTTGTATCCTTCCGTATATGAAAAAAACCCAATATTAAAGACTCTATGTCTTTTTAGTTGTTGAAGTTATTTAATTTTTTTGTCCACTGGAATAATGTTTTGTTTGTTTTTTTTTTTATATTTTACTATGCGTTATATATAGTAGTGCAAAATAGTAAAAAGAATTCTCATGTTTGGACAATGGACTAGGTTTAACAAGCTTTCACTTTTTGTCGAGCGAAAAAACCTAATATTAATGAGACTCAAATATAATGAGACTCATCATAAAAGTCTCAATACTTATTCTGAAAATCAAAAACATCCGCGCGTACTTAATATTATAGAGCATGAAAATGTAGTTTTTTTTTTTTTTTTTTTTTTTGGTCTCTTTTATAATAACATTGATGAGTGTAAGAGATTCAGTCACGACCCCATATACTTTACTTACTTGTTTTATCGTCTATTTTCTTCCATTTTAGGAAAAACGGACAGTGATAATGCGTGCGAAGTAATTGACCAGCTATCCCCATGTTCTTCAAATCATGGTCCCCCTTTGAACGAATTGCATGACGATAAACAGGTAAGAAAGTAACCTATTGGAACGGTTTGAAAGAAAGTGCGTAGTGTTGAAAATGTGAAAATTAAAATTTTAACGTAAAGTAACTGACCGGTTCGTTACAATGTTAATGATAAGGTTTCCTTTGTCGAGGTGTTTTCACGTATGAATGATGGCTTCCCATTACATAAACAGATTCTAATTTCGAAAGAGGGCTTGACTCAGTGCGCAATCTTCGCGTGTGTTATAAATAAGAGCGCTATACGATTTCTAGTTGTCGACCTCTGATTAAATGCGTAAATGAGACCGACAGGCAAAAAATATGGTAATGCTTGCCTTAAAGAAGGATCATGAAAGCCTTTTCCGCGTTTTGTATAATGTGAAGGGAAGATACAAGAATGAAGAAGTGTTCACTTTTGATGCAAATGAAATGCGAACATTGTTTGCCATTGTTTGAGCTTTCAGGTGCTTAGGAATTTTTATATGAGAAACGCTTTTATGAAAACTTTTTCATCTTCTGTCCGTAGATTTCATATTAACGTACGTTAATACCGAATATTCTTTTACCATTTCAGGGCGTAAAGAGTGATAAAGTCACAGCATCCGCTTTGCCGAATGAAGTGTGATTACGAATTTTCAATAGTTGGAGTTTTGCTGCAAACACGTTTAGTGTGCAAGCACTAGGCCTAACTGACTCATGCGCCCACACTTAAGCGCAAATCGAAACTGATCGTTACCATATAAAGTCTAAAAGGTATTTGCGAACTTATGGAGCACGCACATTTGCGTTGGGACGACGGTGATAGCGAGATACAGCGATATTTGGGTGATATTTGGGGTCTAACAATATTCAACTGACTCTTCCCGGAATTGGAACTCTTTCAACAAGCTTTTGCCAAACCTAAGAGAAATGCAGTTTTCATTAGTTTACTCATACGGCAAACTGCTGGAAGTATTCTGGCGCAGAACATGCCTACCGACATCTTTTCAACCCGATACATCTCCAGTACCGAAATTGTTGTCGAGTTGCACTCAAATGGCTAAAATAATCTTAGAAGAGTGAAATCGTTGTTATAGCGATCCTTCTATGCCCTTTTTTTACCGTGCTGACAACTCACGCTTCCTCATTAGGTTGGCTGAAGTGCTTTCTTCCTTTGCCAGGACCGATAATGAGCCCGCCAAGGGAACTTCCTATGCAAAGGACCTTTGAAGGACTTACGCAATTGGAAGCGTTGGATTTATCATTGGGTCACGGTGTATACAAAAGCGCTATTTTAAAATATCTTCCAAAGGAGGCTCCCCTAAAAACCACAGTTTTATGACTCGTGGTAATACGCTGGAATTGATTGGACGCAAATGGTCCAAGTACTTAGGACAATTAGTTTCCTATGAAACAGCGGAGAACTTTGCTTAACAATTAAACTAATAACGAGGGTGACGGATTAAGCCCGGAAAGCATTCGGTAAAGTGCACACTCAACATTGAATAAAACTGTAACCGGATTGAAGCTTTCTTGGCCAAACCAGACCAAAGAGTTTGTCTGCATGCTTGTTTAGCGATGGGCGCTCATTCATATCGGATGAAGAAATAGAATACGTTTTTAGTGCTCTCACGCATCTTTGGCATCTTTTCTTGAAACCATGCGCCAGTGAAATTGACATCGACTATCTGCGCGCAAAGCTTAACATTAGTAATTTAAAAGAGCTACAAACGCTTCGATCATGCCTCTGCCTGATTACGGTCCTTCGGAAACTGATTTCAAATTTTCCGTTTAAAGAATTAAGAGAACTTCGACTATATTCTTTTTTGAAGATATTGGCAAATGTTTTCCTGCTCTAGAAGAGTTGCATTTTCACGATTTGTGAAGACAGGCTGTGGCGGAATAAGATGCGAACTTTAGGTTCTTTTAAATAATTGTTTTAAACGCTGATAAAATGTGACAAAAGAATGTGAAAGGATATACCATAGTTATCTCACTCTAGACAATATAATGAAAATAAAGGTAAAAAAAAAGAATTTGCTTAAAATGAGAAAAACTGTTGTTGTCTTCTTGTAAAATGATTGTAAGTTGAAAACTTAACTTCGCTTAAACCTTATGCGCTCAGAGCGATGAGCTGATGGCATATTGACCGTTTAAAATTTGAAATTAAAATTGGACCAAACTATGTCGCCTCTTTTTTATCCTAGCAATGAAATTTCCCATAAGTGATCCGAAGCGTGCTCGAAAATAAAATGGAGAATAAACAAATTTCAAATTTGCCCCCATATAAGTACATGGTTGACTTAAGCGTTATATCATTCTTTACTGAAAGTACGCTTTGAAGGAAGAATGTAATAAAAACTGAATTAAAGTTAAGGCTTAGAAAGCCTATCTAATATTAAAGTCTATGAAAATTTGATTTTTTTCAATACCTTTATAAGGCGGATAAGCAAATTTTAAAAATCCCATATAAATTCTTGGGCTTCTTCTTCTTCAAATTTGGAATGACGTGAACATGCTCATCTGTCCATCTCTCTGTCTGCGGAACTGTGTAGTATTTGTAGTATAAACATTCTCCCGTTCTCCCGAAAATGAAGATATCGTCTACAAATTTGCAAAAGAATTTGGAAGCGATATAAGCTTTTTAAAGGACATGCCTACAATGCTCAAACGTCTAACAAAAACTTTCATTTTGAAGGAAGGTAGAAAAAATTAGCCGCGCCATTCCAAATTGTTGAGCATGAGAACTCTTTCAACTGTGTTTTTACGGAACTTTTAGTAGATTTAACAGATGACTCAATATTAGCAAAACCTACTTGACATATTTTTTTGACTCAAATATCATGAAAGTTTGTAATGGAAAAATCCCATCAACAAGGAACAGGGAGAAGAAATAATATCAAAATAACTTTTTCTAAATAAAAAACGTCAAAAAAGTTGCAGGAAGCGTTTATTTAGTAACAGAAACGTACAACTTTTAGCTCGATTGGCCACATATTCCATGAAACTGCGGCCTCTTCGTTGTCCCTTTCTCTTGCTTCACTTCGTTCCTACCGCCATCGTAACATACGAAGAGGGATCATCGACTCCATATGACCATATAACAAAAGGATAAATCAGTGCACGTCTTGCTAAGCTCACGTATAGCTGTCAAGGCAATGCCAGATTAATTTACTCAATATATTAAAGAAACTTTGTTTTTTTTATTTATTTATTATATATTTGCTTTGCCTTTACAACACAAAAGCACATTCAAGAGCCTTTACATTTTGGAAAAAAAAAACAGTTTTAAGCTAAAAATTAAAAAAAATTAATTATCTATTTATAATTGATAAATTCATAATACTACGTAATTTTGTTGATATATTTTTTAGCTTTTTTTTTTTTTTTTTGTTTTCCGAAAAAATAATATTAAAAAAAAAAAAAAAATATATTATATATATTTATATATATATATATATATATATATATATATATATATATATATATATATATTTTATTTTATATATATAAATATACTTTAAATATAATTAGATAAATAGTTTTATATGTAAATATAAATTTATAAAAAAAAAAATAAATAAATAAATGAGTAAAGAAAACAAGGAAAACAATGGCACCGCTTGCTAAAATTGAAATCTAGAACAAACCAAATATTCCACTACGCCGTAAGCGAACTGAAGGACATTATTTTTATTTATTGGAGAATATTGTTATTTTAAAAAAAAAAATAATTTTTAATTTCCTTATTTTTCTCAAAAATTTCTCCTTTTTCGAATCGTACGTAATATTTGTATAATATTTACTTAAACTTTAAATTCTCAAAGAAAGCAATATTATTTTTAAGGACACCTTCCCGTACGGGAACCGTATTCGTGTTGCTCGGGCAGCTTTTTATAGCTGATGGTGCCGGTATTGTTGTCGTTGTTGCTGTACTATTATTAATTGCTTCGCATTCTTGATCTTTGGTGATTTCAACAATAGATGGATCACTGAAATGGAACAAAAATATGACTTAAGAAATAAATTTGGAGGCAGTTAGTGAGACATGATATTCGCTTACGTGTCTAAAGAAGACAAATCTGAGGTTATGGTAGCATCTTCATTTGTATCGGCTTCTTGGCGACTAGATAATTTGCCCGGGCCTATAGATTTCTTTTGAACCAAAGGTGGCGATATTTTGGCCTAAAAGAAAAAATCGTTAAGATTTAGATCCCTTTTCCGACTGTGACAAAGCGAGAGATCCTATAATAACATATATTCATTTTTGCTTGAGATGCTTTATCATATATTCGACATGTCTCTAAGTTGTTATAGATACTAAGCTCAAGGTCGAAACAAAAAATTGTTCTTATTTTTTTTTAGAAGGGTAGAAACGCGTCACAAATACGCGGTTGTGCTCCTGGAATAGTCAATAAGCCTTATGTTTGGATGTTTTGCGTAGGTGAGCCGCGCTGCTCAAAAATTGTCAAGACAAAAAGCATGCTAGGTTTTGATTCCTTTTCCTTCGCAAAGCTGACTGTCTTCAACTTAGTAGAAATGGTTTTTTTCTTCATTTAAAAAATTCCATAGAAGTAGAAATCGAACATTTTCTACGGATTTATGCACAGAAGGAATGTTAATTCGATTTCTACAGATAAACTGTGACCTATAAACCCCTGCAAAGACTTAAATATCTAAAGGCAGTGTCTACGTAGGCGGAAAGTTTGTTACGCGTGCCACGCAGGAAAATCTCGAAATATCTGCGGAATCATCTCTTTCTTGTTTGTTAATATTTTGCTTCTTTTTTTTTTTCTTGAGGGAAGGAGAGGGAGGGGGAGGGAGGGATATATTACTCTTCTTTACCTTTTTGGTATCAGGTTTTTCCGTTTGACTAGTTTGTGACGCCGAGGAAGATAAGAGAAACGCTTTTGCCAAAGCTTTGACGGAGGGCAAGGCTTCAGCTACTTCTTTCTCAATAACCGGTTTATCTACCATCGGACTTACAAGGGGCTGAAAATATTTAATATATAGATACAGAAATTAAGATTTTTTTTTTGTTGGAATTGTAAAATTTTTTTTTATTGCCCTCTCACTTACTCTTTCATCCTCGTCGAGTGACATTACATGACTAGGGTCGATTAGTCTTCTTTTAGGCTGTAAAAATTTAAATGCTGATGGTGTTGAACCGCGACCAACGCTTTCCGATCGATTGAAATTCAATTGTTTCGCTCTGTCCGCCGTTGGCATTGCATTTTCTTTGCCCTTTTCTTCTTCACTTCGTTGGGGGGTGACTTCAGAGCGCACTTTAATCGTTTCCTGCTTCTTGAAATCATAAATACGTACTGTATCGGTATCATCACTGGTTGAAGTATTTGCAGATTTTGGGGATTTTTGTGAAATATTTTCTATAGATGAACCTATATCGTCCGCCACCGTTACTTGAGCCGGTACCGCTTTATATAAAACATCTTGATGATCATTACTTTGAGGTGGGGGTGAATTGTTGGTTGCTTTAAGAGTTGTGCAGCCCTAACATTTAGGAGTTTTTTTTTGTTTTTTTTTTTTATTTTATTTTTCCCATTACCAAAATAATGAGAATAGTTCGAGGATGAGAAAAGCATTCAAAATTGGTTTTGTTAGTGCATTAAAAGCAAATTAAATAGTTAATGATATTTAGGTTTTAATGTACGAATTTGGATAAGAAATTTTGTAACGATTAGTGTGGGGATAAATGTTAATACTAAAGGCTTAATACACCCACACACACACACACACACACACGCACACAATAATCCATACAAAGAGTAAAATCTATATCTGTGACCTAATGAAACAAATGTTGTTAGTAAAATTGTTGAAGAAAAAAGAATTTTTTTTTTAATTTTAATATTTCTTCCAAACCAAAGAACAAAATGAATGAATAATAAAAAAAAAGAGAGTCGAGTACAAAAAAAAAAAACATTAAACCACCAACGTAATAAGAAAATACCACCGAGAACGGGAAACCACTTAAGAGTCAAAATATCTATATGTAGCAGAAGCTACATTTAAGTGCTCGTCTTGAGCGGTGGTTAACATTATACTTACCCCCGACATGATTCGTACATATAGAACAAATATTTTTTATTTTTTTTAACTAAAGAAATTTTACTAAAAACATTTGTTTCTCTTGGTTTCAAAAATGAAAAGAAATTTCTTTTAAAATTTTATTTAAAACAATAATTAACTGAAAATAGTTAGCAATAGAGTAATTTTTAAACACAATCAAGGATAACACAACAAAACTATTAACAAAATTTTTGTATATAGAAATAAAAAATTAAATTTTAATCAATTAATTACATTTTTAACAAAAAAACAAATGAGGATAAGGATGGTTTCGCTTTTTATTTTCTTTTTTAAAAGGAAATATTTATAAATTTTTTCTTTTTTTCTTTTGATTTCAACGAAATTTTTTTCAAGGTTAGCCTTAGAATAATGGCACTAATCGTATACGTATATATATATATATGTAGGGTAGTCCGGTTGGGTTGCGAAATGTAAAGGAGAACAACTCTCACATCTCTATGCGTTTTTCACTGAAATAAACACAGTTTTCATGACTAGCTACTAAACTCTAATTAGGTAGGGGCCGGAGGAGAGAGATTTTCTCTTTCTAATAGTTTTTAAAATCTTCAGAGATTTGGCGTCAATTTAAGGATATATGTAAATGCATACATATATATAGTTAAGGAATATATTATTATATTTATATATATGGTTTTATATATATACATACATATATATAAAAAGATAAAAGGTATATCATAACAAAATATTAGGTAAATTAGAAACAAACCTATCTCTCATTTCAGCATATTCAACAGAAAAAGAAAGTAGGAGTTATGGAGTGGATTTTAATTTCCCTAACTTTTCTTTTTACCAACCAATGGGAAGAATATGGCTTTTTTCAACAAAATTTTTTATGGAAAATTTTTATAAATTTCCACAAAATTTCTTTAAAATGTATATATTTGAAATTTGAAAAAATAAATTTTGCAAAAATTGATTGTTCTCTCACTAATAGATAAATCCGAGAAAGCAGCCTCACGTCTTTCATTAATCAACTCTGCTTTTCAACTAATACTTTGACATAGTTAAATAATTCCCAAACCTTAATAAGAATTTTTTAAGTTTGAAATGTTTCGAAAAAATATTCAACAATTTCAAGATCCCTTCTCGGCTTGGTAGTGAAGTTAGTGAAATCAAAGAATACCTTAAGCAAATACATTTTTAAAACTACACTTGTCCGTCCCTTTAGAACAAACAATTCGAAACGTGAACGAAAAGGGAATCTATAAAGTGTGTATATTTTTGATAGGCTCGTAAGGAACTGTGTCCGTTTTTCGTATTATTTTTTCGCTTAGTACGGGAGAGGGACCATCCGATATTGCAAGAATTAGATTCAGAAAAGTACTATTTACTTGACGACTATAGATCATCCATAGTAGGCAAAACAAGGTCTTATTTTGAGAGCATATTGATCCAAAATTTACACAAACATTTAAAGATAGTATTCAGGAATGGAAGTTGTCTGCTTACAAAGGGATCTTAGAATGTGCGTAAGATATGCAAATGTCATTGATTTGAAGGGCAAGCTAAATTAGATTCTACGACACTCTCAGATTTAATAAAATATTCTGTAATGCTGAGAGTGTACGTAATTGACGTCTGCTTCCTTTATTCGCAAGAGATACGTTCACCTTAGTCTACACTATTTATAGTGCGAGCGTATATTATGTTTGTTCAAATGTATAAAGCATGCCGAACTATTCGACACAGCTCATCTTTAATTACATCAATCACTTTCTAAATCGATCTGAACATGTCTGTCTATGTGTCCGACCGTTTGTTCAGTCGTCTGCGATATCTATCCGTGCAGTTTCGTTTTATACTTCGCAATTTTTTAGAGATTTTAGAAAAAGTTGGTAAACTGAGATGTTTTGTTCCAAGGAAGGACGCTCTTGAAAATGGCTCGAATTGGATCGTTTTTTCGATCACTTCACATGTAACGCAACCCCGTTTGATCCTTTGTATGACAAAAAAGTGAGGTGTTGTGAATAACTATATTACGCAAAGTGGTGTTGAATATTTAATGGATGCTCGTGGTCGACCATAAAGACGTCGTGACAAACAGAAAAACATAGAGAACAAAGAGGCTAACATAAGTGTACACAAGCGTTACGTATATCTAACCTATAGTTGTACAAATCTTCAATTTTGGTAGGATTTATTGAGAGAATAAGACAATGTTGTAAATTTACCATCAATAATGGCATATAGACCATGGGACACAAAAATGTGTGAAAGAGCAAAAATTATCGGTAACATTAATTTAGTAGATCACTTTATTGCCTTAATTCCACAAAGAGTTGTTTAAAAGGATAAAAGATTTCAAATATCTCTCAAGGCATTTACCTAACTGCCTACATGAAGGTTCTAGCGCGAAGTCTCAATTAGATAACTAAATATGGCCAATATTTCCTGTAAACATAGATTAAATGCATTCTTCCGTGCTTGATAGAAAATTTTGGAATCTTAGTACACCAATAAAAACCTCAAGAAGGAAGCTACAATTTTATAAAACCTACTTCCATCTAGATAGAATCACTGCAAAAGCCCAAATACAAACTATATTTTCGGGAAATTCTTCGCAATGAAAGCGAGGTAAATAGGTTAAGGCCGCGAAGGAGGAATGTATATCTAAAAAACAAACTATTTTTGAAAAGCATTTTTGTCGCGAGTCATCTTCAATTTAAGGCGCTCTGGGGCTGATGCTTTGTTTGCTGCAGATTTTAGTATATATATATATATATGTGCCTATCACTGGGGAAGTATGCAGGATGTTTGAGGAGCTCGAAGGTCGAATTTATGACGAAAAGAAAAGCAAACTTTTGTTATAACGAAAAAGCTTTGAATTGAATTATGAAAAACATCATATGTGCTGATCTTCTGAACGTTATGTTAGTGGAGATATTTTAATAAATTGGAATTAGATTCTCACCCATTCTAAGAATGAAAACTGCAGAAATTATTCCATGGGTCGCTTCGAATAATCATGTTACGAGAAAAGTACATGTTTTTCTTATTACGATAAATTTTTTCATATTGTTCCCCTTACTCTGCAATAAAAGTACCACAACATGTTCAAATATTCCTCTTCCAAAATTTTTACTTTATTCATAGCATTACGAAACTCTCGAATCACCCGGAAGTCACTCTCATCCTCATAACTCTTCGTCAAAAGTCGCCTTGAGATGAAGCTACATTAGCAAATTTTTGCTTCATATTGTCAGCCGGCGTTTATGTTTGAAAATGCTTTCCACTGAATACGAACGTTTTCTAAAGGCATCTTTTAAGGGATTGAAGGAGAGGACAATATAGTAAGACACTCTACTAGGGATTCCTTTGACATAGGCAGCCTTTCTGTAGCCCTTAGGTAAAAGCCCCAAAAATTCTCAGGAGTACAAACTTTCTTTCACACACGTATCCTACAAAGCCCAAAGCATCTGTAAGGCCATTAAAACAATCAATGTTTTTTACGAAAGATTTGCAGCCCATTAGCTGACTAAGCTTGCCGAGATTTTTAGAAAAAACCAACGAAAATATGATTTTTTAAAACAATCATTTCAAAATCTATAAATTCTATGTGTTTTACTATTAGGTTAAGATTTCTCTAGCTTTTTAGAAGACTTGCTTAAGATAAAAGCACAAAAACGAAACCAAAGATTTTTACTCTCAGGCAACATGGCAAATTTTGGAAATCATTAGATGGAATTCAACTCAGTCAAAGCGTCTAAAGAAGACTAAACCACAAACGCAGAGGAAGATTAACGACATTCTCTGAAATGTTAACAACCATGAATTCCGTAGTTCGCACAGGGCGACCATTAGATGTCGTACAACACTTCGTTTAATACACCAAAAATGATGTATTATTTTTATTAAATAGCGTAACTTCCATGAAGGCCCTCATATTGGAGCATACTTAAACGTCAGGATGGTCTAAATGCAGCAAACACAACTGATTTGTTAACGATTTCATTATTTTTCATTTGCTTTTGTCAAACCTTAAATTATACTTTGTCTTCCTGGGGGCCCCTGTCTATGGTGCAATCTATAAAATAGATCTATATGATTCAAATTCCCTATGGTTGATTTACTAAGGACACACATTTAGCATAAAATATAAAAAAATAGACTTTTTCGACATACAAAGACTTACTTTTCATTAGAACCCTTATGTGGTTTGGGAACCCAAAAATAGATCTACACGCGCAAATCTGGGAAGTTTAATTCACTTTAATTATTAATTATTATTACGAGGGAATTTTCATTAAGAAGTATTGAAAATTAGGCTTTTTTTTTACGATGTACAGATTCAATTTTCACAAAAAACTGACTCATCTCAACTGACTGATCTCAACTGACAACTTGTCAACATAACGTTTTGTATGGGAAGTATCGGAAAAACTGGTTCGATGGGAATCATTTGCAGTAGCGCTAGACTTCGAATGAAAACTCGTCAAGTGTACTAAATTTCATCAAACTAGCTTGAAGATTGCGATCTGTAGGCTGGGCAAAAGAATACATGGACATACATCGGGCTGACAGACGGACGGATAATCTTCAGAAAGTGTTTCTAAATCGATCAGTGTAATAAAAGGTGGGTGTGTCTAGACGCTATGAATGCCCGCAAAAACTTAATATACCCTGCACTACAAGTGTTGTACAGTGTAAAAATATTGCTGATGAATACAAGTGATGGCGGAAAAAACTCCTTTTCACTTTTCAGAAAAAATTTGGGGAACTTGATGATTTGTACTCTTTGTCTACTTTAGGGTCAGACAAAAAAAAAAAACCAAAATGCAATTGGAGCAAGTAACTACTTCTTCTTCAGCACCGTCTTTGCGTCTTTCCATTGCGTCTTGCCATTGTATTTCCGAAAATCTCTTGTTTTTTTTTTTTTTTTTTTTTTTGGAGCACACAGTCAACTATTGCATTGTAATTTGTGGAATAGACAATTTGAAATAAAATTAGTTAAGCCTCTTATATTTATAGCTATAGTTAACAAGCAAACCCTATATATAAACTTTCCTCAATAAGAAAACCCTTTGAATCAAAATTTTAAATATAAATTTCTTTTTAATTACCGTACTACCATTTTTCCCCGCACACTTTTCTTCAATTATGTACAAATAAAAAATAAAAGCTCGTAAGTTGTTAAACCCTAAAACAATAAACTATCAAAATCTTTTCGATTTTCGTTCCCCATTTTGATCTCCTTGCCAGTAAAGCCATTCAGACAACTATCGACACCCGAATCCCCGGCCTGATCGTCATGTGTATTTTCGCATTTTTTCAAATTACTATTGGAAAAGTTTACGTTTTCATTATCGGCACCACCATCACTTTGACTCGATTCACCCTCGAATAATGGATTCAGTACAAAATCGACCGTAGTAGACGAGGTCGCTCGAAAACTATTACGTTTCAAATCTTTATGCAATAATTGCTTTTCAAAGTGTGACCATAAGTGTTGATTCGAATCATGCAATGATTGTTTCGAACCCCTACCACTACTACCGACACTACAAACACTTAACATAGAGACCGTACGACGTTTTAAAGGGGATATTGTGTTTGAATTTTTTACAAAACATTTCGTATTCTCGTATTGTGAAACACTGGACGCACAACGTGTTACCGTTTGATGTCGATTATGATTAGTTTTAGAATTATTATGTGATAGCAATTTAAGGGAACAGCTACGTCTTACTGGGGCTGCTAATGTCCAATGGCAATCATTATATAATCTCTGTGTATCAGTATATGTGTGATTTTCAGTTGCTTGTTTCGTTAAATTTACCTCAGTATATTGTTCGGCACTGCCTGATTTCGATGGGCTTTCATTCGATTTTGAAACGTTATTTATATAGTAATCGCGACTGTATCTAAAATGGATAAACAATCATTAATAAGATAATAACTCTCTGTTAGACGTACGGGCATACCTTTTATATTCAATTTCTCGTTTATTATCCGTTTCGTCATTAAGTTTCTGTTTGGTTATATGTTCTAGAGGATTTGCTTCTTTCCCAGGACTTATATTCGGCAAATCCATGCAACGTTCTTGGCTACCATTGATGCGTTTTTTTAAAGCTTCCGGCGCATAAGGATTATTAGGCATATCAACGGCATTATGCCATTTTAAGTATTCACGTTCAGCTATTGAACCTAAAAAAAGTTTGCATATATGAAAAAAAAAAAAACAAAAAAACAAAAGAAGAAAGAAAATGATTTTAGGATAACGGAAGAATAGGATTTCAAATAGTTTCGAAATAATTCTTGAAAAAAAAAAGAGAGAGAGAGAGAGAGAGAGAGAGAGACATATCGATCGATGTAGTTTCGTTTTATACGACAACAACAGTTGATGAGAAAACGGACAAAACTTCTTACACTTACACTCCTACACGCTTGCACTTGCATGAGTTATGATATCAAGAGTGAGTGAAAAAATACACACAAATAAAAATACATTACATAAAAGAAGAAAAAAAGAAGACAAAAAATAGAAAATGAAAGAAAAAGAAACTTAAAGACACCAACACCGAGTTTATGAAAATGTCGGTTGGTTTAGCCTTTGTTAAGTGTTTCAGTTGTTAGTGTTGATTGTGAATGTACCTGGTACAAATTTAGGTTGTACAGCCACCATATCATCAACGTGTTCCCTTTCTAAAATCTGGTTATCAATATCATCATCCTTATAATCCTCTATTTTATTATTCTGTCCAATAATAATTTGCTCCGCTTTCAAGGTTGTGACTTCAACTGCGCTTGCTTCTCTGCCTGACGTTGTATTATTGTGATGGTAATGATGATAATGATGATCGATGTTATTTTTGTTATGATTATTATTATTATTACCGTTGTTATTCTTTTTCTTATTACAAGTGTTAGGTGTTGTTGTTGGGATTGCGTTGCCATTGTTATTAACAAGTCTTACATAAGTGTTATTACTGTTATTATTATTGTTATTATGATTAGATTGTGATTGTTGTTGTTTATGTTCTATTTCTACATCTAAACCGATTTCTATGAATTCTTCATCTGTTGTTGGTGTGTTGTTACTTGAACAGTATTCATTTGTTATTTGATCTGAGAAGAGAATATTATTAAAGATATGAAATGAATTTTCATGCTGTCGTTCGCCTACTAGATAACTATTATCACAATCACATATGCTACTATCTTCACTATTAATGGAGGAGCATTCAACAGAGCCTATACGTGAACTATTAGCATCAGTTAATTCAACTGTTGATTGATAGGCCGCAATAAGTTCATTTTCCATTGAACTGTGCGGTGATTCTTCAAATGAACTCAAAAATCTATGCATTAATAATGTTTGACGACGTCGCGTCTCAAGCGCAGCCAAAAGTCGTTTGTCTTGTATGTATTGCTGGCATATACTGCCTAAGGCATTAGTGGTGGGAATTTTTTTGCTTTCTTGGCTATCATCTTCTAAACTCGGTGCTGTGTCGCTAGAAACACAAGCTTGTCGGCGTAATTTTTTCAAAACCAAATGGTTACCTAAATTTTTAACGCTTATGCCTTCTTCTACAGTTCGCCCTGTTTTTGCATTCTCCAATTCAATCAATTTATTAGTTGGTGTAACTGACACTTCCATTGCTGCAGCCTCTGCTAATATAACTTCGAAAGTTTCATCACGTCGGAGAGTATTCGCAAGTTCATTGATAACCATTCCCGAGCTTCCTATTGAGCTACTACTTTCCTCTTGCGTTTCATTGCTAGGAAAAAATTGACGTCTTACTGTTGCAGCGGAGGTCGTCATTGGCACATAATAATCACTAATACTTTCCTTGCAGTCATCTGCGATATCATCACAGAGATCCGGATCTACTGCTGCCAACATTGGCTCTGAATCTTTATTCTCAATGAAAGTTGACGAGTTTTCATTTTGCAATTTTGCTTGGAATGTATCTTGTGAGTTTTCATAGGTATTAGTAACTTGATCTAAAACCTCCGAAGTTGAAGTTTTCAATTCTTTAGTTTCAGTTTCATTAATTTTTTCATCAATTTCTTCTCCTTTCGCTTTGAGCTGATTTTGTGATTCATTACGGGATTCTTGTAAAATTGTTGTTGCCAAAGTTGTCTTTAATTCATTCATTACATTTGCTTTAGTGCTGCTCTGTGAAAGAATAGCGGAATCTATCGATGCTTTTATTTCAGGTGGATCTACTGCTACGTTCTCAGATTTATCAACGACCAAAGAGTTGGATTTGCTAACATCTTCATTGTCACTTATAACCAAATTTGTTACTTTAATTATGGTCGATCCTAATCCCTCTTCCATTGTCTCCGTAGATTCCGATAATGAATCCGTTTTTGCGGACACTTCATTCCAAATTGACTTTTCTTTGACAGCTCTCAGAAGGTGTAAGTTATTTGGGGTATTTAGTTCTGTTACTTTGCATTCAGGCTGCGATTCCACACTGCTCGTACTTTCGGCTTCATTGCATATACTGACCGCAAATTCAGTGAGATTTTCCTTAAATTTTACACAAGGCTTATGTTCTGTAGAAGTGATTGGTGTTCCAGTAATATCCACTTCAGCGACTGGCGACACCGAAGCAACTTTTCGCAATTCCGTTGGAGAAATATCATTTAATTTTTCATGTGCTTTAGATGAATTTTTATTGCCATTCTCTCCCTCCTGAAAGCTTGACATGGATATGTTATCTGGTTTATCAATGCTTTCCGTTTTGGACAAAATTTGTGTTAATGAATTTTTTTTAACCGCTAAGTTAGTGTCTTCGACTTTAGTAACAATAATTTCCGAATTATTCTCTTCTAGATTAGGTTTTTCAGCGCAGGAAATTTCCGGCATAGAAGCGATAGTTTGTGAACCATTTAACTCTGGCGATAGACGTACTTCTGAAGCTAATATTGGCAGTTCACCTGTTTTGTCTTTCTTTTCGCTCGCAACGGTTTGCGAAATATTTAGTTCCGCACAAAGTAAAACTTCCGAATTTACTATTGAAACTTCTTTCATGGAAGAAGTTTCGTTCACCGTCTTAGCAGCGATAGTTTGGGAAACATTTAATTCTGGTGCAAAAAAGGCTTCTGAAGTTCGAAAAGGAATTTCCCTTACGGAAGAATTTTCCTCTACCGGTTTAGAAGCGAAAGTTTTCGCAACGTTTAGTCCTGTCGCAAGAAGGGCTTCTGAGTTTAGTATTGAAACTTCCTGCCCGGGAGTTGTTAGTATAGTTTCAGGGGCAGTATTACGAGATATATTTATATCTGGGGCCAGAGGTTCCTCGGACGCTAGTATTGGAGCTTGATTCGCGGAAAAATTTTCCATTTTGATTTTACAAGACCGCACGACGTTCAGGCCTGTAGCTAAAAGCACTTCTGATACTAGCGTTGGAATTTCACTTACAACAGAAATTCTCTCTACGAAATTCTCTGCAGTAGCTTCGTGAATATTCAAGTCTGGCTTTAAAAGTACTTCTGATGCTGATGTCTGAAGTGACTCTTTTTTCGCTTCTAGTATTTCTGAACTTGGTGCTAATTTTTCATTTCTATTAGTAATTGTGAGTTCTGAGAAATTTTTTTCCGCTAGCGAAATTGTCTCTTCATTAATCAGGGAAGTCGGTCTATGTTCTGGGCCGGTGATTGTACATTCCGATACCTCCTTCTCTACATCGACTGTAATATGTGTGGAAGTGTGAGAACTTGATTTCAATTCCGCTGTCTCCCGAAGTGCATTTGCAATTAGTTCTTGAATATTTTCTTTTGCTGGCAACGGATCGCTCTTTGATGAATCGGATGCGATAAAATCGACAGAATCGGAATCGCGAATTTTCTTTACAATGTCTTTGCTGCCTGTTGCTGATATTTGAAGTTGTTCTTTTGCCAGCGTTGAGTCGAGTTCTTCTTTTTCTTCAGATACATTAGTACGATTCATTAAAGGTATGTCTTCAGCCTTAATTGGCTTCAATGTCGTAATGGAATCCCTATAACTTTCTGTTAATAATTTTTCACTTTCAATTCTCAATTTTTTTTCTTCACAAAAAATTTTTTCTTTTACTCCAAATTTCAAATTTGTTTCCGAGAATGTTTTCTTGTCAGTTTCTAATGTCACTTTCGTGGAGATGGTAACGAGATTTAAATTTGATTGCGATTGATTTTCTAACGACACAATAGCTTCGATACCACTATCGTTTATATTGTATAAATGTTCGGTGCTCTCGTTCGATTTTATAGTACCGTTAGAAACCGTTTCCAATTGATCACTAACGACAACGTCAGTGAGAAAGCGGTACTTATTTAAATTTTCTGCAGGATTGGAATTGGTTAGTAGTTTTTGAGATGACATTGGCAAATTATACGAAGTTGCGGTTACAAGCTGTGCGGGTTCTCTATCTAAGACAGAAGATTTTTTAACTTCATTTGGTATAGAATGACAAGCTTCGACAGCTTGCTGTGGTTTCACATTAAGTACCTCAATTACGGTTTTATCCGATGTTGTGGAAGTTGCAGTAGATTCGGTAGAAAGATGCGCTTCCTTTGCCTCAAGTGACGAATTTCTCACTTTAATTGGTTCGACTATTGTATAAGAATCTGACAAACATGCCAAAGCATTTTCTTCTAATGGTTTAGTGTTGAACTTATTTGACGCTATAGGTGCTGAAGGAACATTTACAGGCTTTTCGGGTTCTACGACTTTATTTGTTACTGTATCCGGTGTGGCAAACATAATTGGTGGTGCAATAATGTCTATAGCATCCACGGATTCGATAGTATTTGAATCAGTCGTAAACTGCGAAAGAAGGCCTGTAAGCGGTTGGTTTGTTGCGGCTTCGCAAATAGTCAGTACAACTGGCTCTTGCTTTAACTCTATCGAGTCTGCAGGAGCTTTCAACTCCTTTTGCTCCGATTCCGTACTACCGGAAGGAATATCAATTTCCTTCAAATTCTGAGTTGCTTGTTCTTCTGATGCATAATGCTTTTCAAGATTAGGCGCGGTTACCGCTTCGATGGATTGTTCGGCTTTTCCTACTTCGAAAATATTTTCAGACACTAATGCATTATTACGCGAAGGTTGATCGGATATTTCTGCAATGGTATATCCCATTGCGATTTCTGAATTCTCCTCATTTATCATTGTCAATTTGGGAGAAATTTGTAGACTTTGTTCTTCTTTTAGAATTGTAGCAGTTTGTGTTAATTTAATTTCAGATATCTTCGTTGCAAGGTCTTCCGCAATTACTGAGGGTTCTGCTGAAAGCAGAATATCCTTAACCGTGTCTAATTTTTGCACTGGTATAGCCGCTCTATCTGCAGTAAAAGCAGCAATATTTTCATTAGTTTCGTCGCTTGATTTTCTCAAGATTTCGTCAGCTGAAGGTATCGAAGATTTTATTAAGTTTTCTTCGGCTGAATCGAATCGCTGGTTTTGACTAAGTGATTTTTGGCCTTGATTTATTACATCTGATGGATCCCTAAGTTCATTTCCACAAGTTGTTGCAGAAGAAGTTTCTAAGTGCTCTTGGTTTAAAGTCTGCAAAAGTGACACATGAGCAACGTTCGTTGTAATATTTTCCGGTATAATTTCCATTCTAGACTTTTCTGATACTGTTTGATCAAAAGTTAATGTTTCTTGCTTCGTTAGCACTGTAAGTTTTGGATCTTCATGATTTAATTCTGATTTCACCTGTGTATGTTGTCCTTGAATTAATTCTTCGGAAACCTGTTCTTTACTCGTGTCTACCAATGGTGTTTCGGATATTTGAATTTCATATTCTTCTTGAATCAATACATCAGGGACATGTTCTTTACCTGAGTCTATTAGTGCCATTGTGGATATTTCAGATTTCATCAGCGTGTGTTGTTCTTGAATCGGTATTTCTGGCGCCTGTTCCTTACTCAAATTTGCTGACCCAATTTCGATTGCATCCATCGAAGCGTGTTCCAATGATGTTTGCGGTTCTTTCTTCGTACTCAATTGCTCAACGGAAGATTTTTCCAAGTCCAATGCTCTTAAATTTGAAGTCGCAAACGCATTGACAATTGTCTCTGATACTACAGATTCTTCTACATTGACAGAAGTAGCCGAAGAGTTAGAGAGTTCAGACGAACTAACTACAGTTTCCTCTGATGAGGTTTTTGGTAAATGCTTTGTTGAATCAATTTCTTCCTTAGCAGGAATTGGAGTCTTTTCGTCTTTAACGATAGACGCGGGTTCAGTTGACGATTGACAGCATACCGTTGGAATCTCCGATTCAATGGGGTCATTCTTACACTCTGTTTGCTTACCGGCCACGTTAATAACAGATGTCAAAGTCGTGGCTTCAGATGATTCAATTGAGGATATGTTAGCACTATTTTCATCAGTTTTTTCGCCCTGTTGTGTTAATATTTCTTCCTGAATTGCTATTTTAATGGAAGTTGATAAAGGCTCTGTCGAGCGAACAAACTCTTCTTCACCTGAGTTCGCTGAATCTTTTATTTTCTCATTACATATACTAATGAGGACATTTTCTTTAGGTTCTGTCACATTGTCTTCCGTAATTGCTGTTCCGTTTAATGCGACCAGGCCCGGCAAAGATGGACAAGATTGAATTATTTCGGGATCTAACGCAATGGAAATATTTTCATCATTTCCGATTTTTTCAATTCCAGAAGGTTGAATTATTTTTTGACCTTCGTTTGCAGAAGTAACTTCATTGCTTCGGTTTGTTTCATTACATGCACTATTTGTGTCGGGATCTTGCGTTGCAATGACTGATGTGTCCGGTGTATCAGTCAACACGGTCTTATGTAAAACTGCTTCTGCACTCGGCGAAGTTTCCGCAGGTTGACTTGTTTCGCGATTTACGCTTGCTGAATTGATTTCAGTACTTGGAGTTGTTACGTGAGATGCGATGGTAGTGGCCTCTCGCGCTGGTACAACGACTGATATGTTAGGTGAATCGCTCAACACGTTCTTTTGTATATCTGCGCCTACGCACGGCAATATTTCAGAAGGTTGCCTCGTTTCGTGACCTTCTTTTGTTGAATTGATATCAGCGCTTGGGATTATTTCATTAGATTTAATAGTTGAAGTTGTGGCCGCTTTTTGTGACGTATCAGGCATTGTACTATCTACAATTGGCACTACAACTATTTCAGTAGATACAGCGGTTGAATCAAGTTTCCCTGCTTGTTCTTCAACAATAGTTTTTTCTTGTGGAAATTGAGATGATTCTTCTGCTTTCTCTTCAATAACTTTCAAATTTTCTGGATTTGTCTCAAACTTAGTTATCGAAGCTTGTGAGGATTCAATATTGTCCGGAATTGATTCATTTTTTATTGCTGAATTCTCCGCTAATAGATTCACCGTCTTCACTGCATTCTCTGCCGAAGTTTCACAACTTTGGTTCGTTAGGATGTATTCCGATTCGAAAGCGACAGGCGGAGGTATAACCTCGTCTTGCGAAGGTGACGGCGAATTTGCATTCATTTCAATGTTTACATTTCTCTCTTCATGTGATTGTTCTTCAACCGTTACTTGAGCGTCTGCGTTCAACTGTTGATTTTCAGTACTCGGATTTTGTGCATTTATCGCCTCCTCACCGACTTTGCTTCCTTCATGGGGTAATGGTCCTAATAAAACCATAGCCTCCTTTTCTGACGATTTTGATTCCTCTTCCGGTTTTCCTATTAATGCTTTGGACTTTTCTAACACTTCTTGTGGTGTATGTTGGGTAGATAAAGCTGTAGAATGATCTTGAGCTTTTAAAGCAGCGGATTCTTCTAAGTCCTCATTGCCTTTTGCCCTTTGGGTTGCGACAAAAGAACAAGATGAAGTCTCCCTAGATAAGTTATCATCAGTTGTAGCGTCTGTAAACGCATTGTCAGTGGACTCTTCGAATGAAATAGCGAAGGTTTCTATAATTGTAGGTTGGCATTCAATAACACCTAATGAGGGATGCCGTGATTTCTTAATTGATAAATTTTCGTCTTGTTCTGCTACACTGAATAATTCCTCGTGTAGATTTAAGTTTGTCTTGGCCCGTGATTGCTCGATTTCGAACGCTTCCTTTTTTTCTGTGAAAGTCAACTCATTTTCGGTTGATATAAGTTGATTTATTGTGCTATGAATAGTTTCAGAAGACTTTACTTTCTCCTCCATATTAAATAATAGCTTTTCCGAAGAAGCCTTTTCTTCATTTTCTTTTATTATTTTCTCGACATTACTTTCATTGGTTTCTTTTTCTTCAACTGCAATATTTGTCTCGCATTCTTCATTAAAGCCTGCTGGAGGTTCTAAAATTGGAATTTCACTGCTCTCTAAATCAGATGCAATATTGCTCTCATCTAACTTGGGCTCCTCTCTTATTAACTCAAGCGCTTGTACTGAAATATCTGAAATGCTCTCTAAAAGCTTATCTTGTCCACTAAGACCCATAGAAGTTATATACTCTTCACCAATCTTTTGTTCTGTTTGCTGTGTAGACTCAAGTCGTAAATCTGATCTGGTTTCATCGGAGGACTCAACATGTTCTTCGTGCTCTACTGTAGATTTAACTTCCACAGTTGCTGGAGTAGTTTCGGAGGTGACTGAGTTATTAACATCTGACGATATAACTTTTGCCCTTGCTATCACTGCAGGCTTTAAGTCCGGTTTCCTTTCATCGGACGATTGGTCTTGTGTTTCTTGTGCTGCCGTATCTCCCACATCTAGTGTCGCCGGAGTTGCTTCACTGGTTGGTAGCTCATTAACATCGGACGAAGTCAAATCCTTTTCAGCAACTTCAGTTTCTGTTTTCGTTACAAATTCGGGTTGTAATTTCGTTTCATCGGAAGATCGATCTTGTTTCTCTTGTGCTGCCGCAGCTTCAACATCTACAGTCGGCGGAGTTGCTTTACTGGTTGCGGGCTCACTAATATCGGACGAAGTCAAATCCTTTTGAGCAATTTCAGTTTCTGTTTTCGCTATAGAATCGGATTGTATGTCCGATTTCATTTCATCGGAAGATCGATCTTGTTTTTGTTGTGCTATCATATCTTCTACTTCTAGTGTCACTGGAATTGGTTCACTGCTCTCTGGCTCATTAATATCAGATGAAGTCAAATCCTTATCACTAACTTCTGTTTCTGTTTTCAATACAGATTCAGGTTGTATGTCCGATATCGTTTCATCGGAAGACCGATCTTGTGTTTCTTGTGCTACCGTACCTTCAGCGTCTGAGGTCGCCTCAGTTGCTTCACTCGTTGCTAGCTCATTAACATCGGACGAAGTCAAATCCTTTTCAGCAACTTCAGTTTCTGTTTTCGTTACAAATTCGGGTTGTAAGTTCGCTTCATCGGAAGATCGACCTTGTTTCTCTTGTGCTGCCGCAGCTTCAACATCTACGGTCGGCGGAGTTGCTTCACTGGTTGCGGGCTCACTAATATCGGACGAAGTCAAATCCTTTTGAACAACTTCAGTTTCTGTTTTCGCTATAGAATCGGATTGTATGTCCGATTTCATTTCATCGGAAAATCGATCTTGTTTTTGTTGTGCTACCACATCTTCTACTTCTAGTGTCACTGGAATTGTTACAGTGCTTTCTGGCTCATTAATATTAGACGAAATAAAATCCTTATCACTAACTTCTGTTTCTGCTTTCACTACAGATTCGGCTTCTATGTTCGATTTCGTTTTATCGGAAGCTTGATCTTGTGCTTCTTGTGCTACCGTATCTTCAGCATCTAAGGTCGGCGGAGTTGCTTCACAACTTGCGGGCTCATTAATAACGGACGAAGTCAAATCCTTTTGAGCAACTTCAGTTTCTGTTTTCGCTATAGAATCGGGTCGTATGTCCGATTTCGTTTCATCGGAAGATCGATCTTGTTTTTGTTGTGCTACCACATCTTCAACTTCTAGTGTCACTGGATTTGGTTCACTGCTTTCTGGCTCATTAATATCAGACGAAGTCAAATCCTTATCACTAACTTCTGTTTCTGTTTTCACGACAGATTCGGGTTGTATGTCCGATATCGTTTCATCGGAAGACCCATCCTGTGTTTCTTGTCCTACCATATCTTCAGCATCTAAAGCGGGCGGAGTTCCTTTACTTGTTGCTGGTTCATTAATATCGGACGAAGTCAAATCCTTTTCACCCGCCTCAGTTTCTGTTTTCACTACAGATTCAGCTTGTAAATTCGATTTCGTTTCATCGGAAGACCGATCTTGTGTTTTATGTGCTACCGTATCTTCAACTTCTAGCGTCGCTGGAATTGCTTCACTGGTTGCTGTTTCTTTAATATTAGACGAAGTCAAATCCTTTTCAGTAACTTCTATTACTGTTTTCGCTACAGATTCGAGTTGTGAATCCGTTTTATCGGAAGATCGGTCCTGCTTGTGTTGTGCTACCGTATTTTCAGCAAGTGGAATAGCTTCATTGCTCGCTAGTTCGTTAAGATTAGGTGAAGCCAAATCCGTCTCAGCAACTTCTGTTTCGTCTTTCACTACAAATTCAGGTTGAAAATCCGATTTAGTTTCTTCGGAAAATCGATCTTGCTTGTCTTTTGCTACCGTATCTTTAACATCTGGTGTCACTGGAGTTGTTTCACTTGTTGGTGGCCCATTAACATCAGGCAAAGTCAAATCTTTTTCAGCAACTTCCTTTTCTGTTCCCACTAAAGATTCAGGTTGTAAATCCGACTTTGTTTCTTCGGAAGATGGATCTTGTGTTTCTTGTCCTACCGTATCTTTCACATCTAAGATCGCTGAACTCTCTTCAGTGGTTGCAATCTCAATAATATGAGACGAAGTCAAATCCTTTTTAGCAACTTGTGTTTCTGTTTCCACTACAGATTCAGGTTGTAAATTCGATTTCGTTGGATCGGTAGATCCATCTTTCTGTGCTACATTTTCTCCATCTTCTTTAGTTTCGAAGGATGGTGAGTTATTAGTATCCGGCGAAGCAACCGCTGCCTCAATTTCTACTATAGATTCAGGTTGTAAAACCGATATCCTTTCACCGGAAGATCGATCTCGTTTTTCTTCTGCTAACAGATGTTCAGCCTCTACCTTCGCTAGAATTGCTTCACTGGTCTCTATTGCAATAATATCAGACGAAGTCAAGTCCTCTTTAGCAACTTTCGCGTTTGTTTTTATTACAGTTTCAGGTTGGAAACCCTCATTCTTATCACCGGATGACCATCTTTCGTTTATTACCTTTTGTTGTACTTCTAGCATTTCTGGAATTTCTTCCGTGATCGCAGGTTTTTCAATACCTAGCGACATCGAATTTCCTTCGACCACCTGGGCTAAGTTCGATTTTATTTCATCAACCGATTGATTTTCTTCAATTGCTATAGATTCGTGCAACACTGTCTGTTCTCGAGAATGAGTAGTGTCAAGAAGTTGACTTGCTTCACCGACACTACTTGTTCCTGCTTGTAAAGCAATGGCTTTGGCATTTGTTTGTTCAGATTCAACGGTTTCCTGTTCGATTTCAGGAGGCGGTTCCACAATTGGTATATATGTGACGAGCTCAACTATTTCATCTGGTGGCTTTAAAATTAAATTTTCTATTATATAATCAGTAGACATATCGTCAAGAGCTGGAGGTGGCGGCAAGTTTTTTAAATCAATTAAGAACTCTTCTTGCAAAGTTATATCGTTTGGCTCTTCTGGTATAACTTCTAAATCGTGAGCCGTTACTTCGCCGGCACGTGTCTTGATCTCCGTCAACGCCAAGTCCGTTAATTCGTGTAAGGTAGACAATTCTGCGCTAGTTAAAGCAGCCGGTTGATCAGCAGCTGGTACGGCTATCATTGGGGCAAGGGCTACAGCTGCTAAAATTTCAATTACTGAAGGTGTACGCTCAGATGCATCAATAATTTCAACTTGACTGAAACCTAAACAACCTTCAGCGGGTATGTCAACGTCTTCAGTTTCACATTCTGAAAACACAAATGACATTTCGGGTTGGTTGATGCTTGAGACGTCAAACATATACATAGATAAATCGGGCATTCGGATGAACGAAGTTGGCTACAAACGGGAAATCAATGCTATACTACTAAGGGCATACAAAGGCGTCTATAATTCTAGCATAGCTAATATTCCAAATTGCTTTAATGAATTTCTGTCGGTATTTTTTCTCAATATGGGTTTAAACTTGACTTACCTGTTGATGGCTTGCGTTCGGTTTCTGAATCAATAGTTTCAATTTTATTTATCTCATCGTTGATAGCTTCATTTTTGGGAGGTGCATCTACTACGTGTTCATTCAGAGTATCGGTGTAAGTCTCGTCCTGTTCGCTAGGTAGATTATTGATTGGTACGCTGCTGCTTTCAATTAATTCATCCAAAACGGATTTACTATTCTGTCCGCCGATTATATGCTTATTAAGCAAACGATCATTAAGTGGGTCCATCTTTGTACTTAGTAAACCCGAAGATGAATCATCGGTTTCTGAACCCAATTCCGATAAATCGCTTACTTCATCAGTAGCTTTATCGCCAATTTGAGCACGTACGTCTTCTTTAGGAATTGGTATAAGAATGGTGGCTGTTGTACCCGATCCTCCCAATGATGAATGTTTTTTCTTAAACAGCCAATTATGTTCCCAAGTACCTTCGCCCTTAGCACTCGAAGTAATAGAAACAAAATCTGAAAATCGAAGAAAAACAAATAAAAATAGAATGTTAAAAAAATGGAACGTCGTTAAATAGACAAGGAGTACCATCCTCCTCGGACTCTGTAGGCACATTGGATAGATCAGGCAATGGCACCATATGACCAGCTAAATAATCACTCATTGTTGATTCTCGGCCAGGATCTAAAGGCGATTCTGCAGGCTTATTAATTTGATTCTGCAAAGAACATGTTTAATATTTTATTGCTTTTTTTTTAACCTCTTGGAGCTCTTAGAATTTACATTCAATATTCGATCCATTTCGCTATAGCTGCAATCACTACGTGGTTCTACTGAGCTGCCCGAGGAAGTGCTTTGATTTTCCACATTATAATTCTGATCCATATCATTCGATTGATTTGATTGAGATAAGTCGGGTGTGCTTTCCGAAATAATTCTATTATTTCCTTGAGTATCGACAATCTAAAAAGATATAATGGAAAGAGTAACCTTGACTTTGAAAAGATCAAAAATCAAAAAAGATAGAACAAAGGAGAGAAAGAGAAACGAAAAGATTAAATCACAATATCTTGCGTGCAGGGAGGCACTTGCTAAGCCTAGGTCACAGATGGCTTTATACTTTCAATGAAACCAGCCGTTGGCGTCATTTCGTTAAGTGGGTTATTTAACAAAGCCAATTGGCGCCGCCTTAAGTCGACGTCATTAGATTATTTAATCGCATATATATATAGAAAATTGGCAGGGATTTTGCAAAATCTATTGATTGCATATATCGAATCAATTTCGAAAAAACCAAAGATTTTATTATTAATAAGAAATTTTTTCGCTCGAAATAATTAACTTTTAGAACCCATAAGTAGTTTACAAATTTTTTTAGCAAAAAAAATTTAAAAGATTTTCTAAAATTGAAAAATATATTACTATTTTTACATTTCTATTAATTTCTTCCATATTTTATTAAAAGAAATCTTAGGAAAAATCTTTATTAAGACTTGTTTTATTTTTTTTTTTTTTTAATAATTTTTAAGTTTATTCCTTTTATATCCAATTAGTGTTTAGTAGATATCAAAGACAGTTTATTTAGGTTTTTCTTTTATATATTGTATGTCTACACCGTTTAAAAGTTGCACGACAACTGAAATAATTTTCTTAGGAATTCCATTAATTTTCTGCAAAATTTCTGTGGAAGGAAACCCTAAAAATGTTGAATGAAAATAATTAACGAAAGTGTTAAAGAGGCGACAGACAAACTTTTTATATGTGTTAATGTGTCTCTCTAGTTCGTTATTTCCTCGAAACAATGAAAAAACCGGCAACCGGAAAATATAACTCAAGAAAAAAAATATATATATATTCTACAGGTGCATGCTTAGCATATGTATATATATATATATCTATACAATATATATATATCTCTTAGAAAATTTCTTTAAGTAATCGAAAATATAATAGAATAGAATTTAAAGTGGGTTTGACTATGTCTGTTACATCAAATAAACAAAATGTTTTGCTACATACAAGCCCAGGCATATTTTTCAATAATACTTTAATATGAGTTCGCTAAAAAAAAAAAACTTTGTAATCATCAAGTATCATTCATTAGATTCCTTGTAACTTCAATCCGTGCACATTAGATATCTTACAACATTAGTTAAATAGCTACGTTTGTCCGTCCGTATATATATATAGCAAATTACACGATGCTTAGCTGAAATTTGTTCTTGTGTATGTTGTGTATAATCAAAGTTTCACTTATTTGGGCACAGATAGGCGTGTTCCCCACACTAGCTAAAAATTTGTAATTTATAATCTCAGATAGGCACTTGTCTAAAATTTTGTGTAGATATTTACAAGGGCCACTTAAAGGTTCCGAGGAGAAATATATGGGCCTGATATGGCAAGTCAACAGATACGTCGTCCTCAATTAACAAAACACGTTGCTTCGACTTGGTACGCAATCCGTTTGAATAGTCCCATTAAACTTGATTAAATAGGCCGTTTCATTTATATTAGTGAAAACAGTCCACCTTTCAATAAGTTTCTTCGGGGCTTCTTTAGTAAGTTTCGTTTAACCTTCTTCAAGAAGTTTCTTTTAAGTTTCTTCATTAAATTTTTGTAATCAGTTTCTTCTAGACTAATAGAAGGATGAAGTTTTAGAGAACGTTTGAGTTTCTCTACTTCTTAATCTTCTTTTGGAATGTCCCATTAAAATTGATTAAATTGACTGAGTCATTTATATTAGTGAAAATGTTCTACCTTTCAATAAGTTTCTTCTAGGTTTCGTCAAGGAGCTTCTTCTAGGCTTCTTCAATAAGTTTCGTCTAAGTTTCTTTATTAAGCTTCTTCAATCAGTTCCTTCTAGACTAATAGACGGATGAAGTTTTAGAGAACGTTTGAATTTCTCTACTTCTTCTTAATCTTCATTTTGACACGGTTCCATTAATATTGATTGAACAGGTTGATTTTGGTCAGCTCCGTTAGTTGAACTTCCCAAGCATAAGCCTAAGACACTTTTCGTTTTGAATGTTACTATCGGCTTAATAACTGTTTGGCAAAAAACAGACTTCATATTCAGGCTCCTTAATTCGACAAAGATCCTTTATACTCCTCATCCTTCAAAATTTTCAAAACACCAATCGATTCGTAGTCAAACATTATTAGAGTATAAAAATTTAGAAATTGGTCACCCCTCGTGTAGCATTTATGCTTGTAATAATATGCTATAAAAGTATTACAACGACGCTAGTGAAAATTTTCGTCGGTTCTCTAGCATATGCTTCTCATTCTCGTAAACGCGATTGACGAAACGTCAGAATGAGTTTTAACGAAAACTCAATGTTGGAAACATTATTGGAAATTAATTTTAAAAAATTCAATCCCTATAATTATACTTTCTATTTTGTGTGTAGAAGACTTACCTTATTAAGCACCGCGGTGGCTAATAAATCCTGATAGATTTTTGGTTCAAAATAGTGTTCCGTACGATGACGATAACCATTTTTAAATGTATGCTTAGCTGACGTTTTACTTGGTCTATCCAAGGCCACTTCGGATACAGCATGATTCATGGTCAATGGTGGCATACTCATAGTCTCAGCTATAATTTTTTGTATCATCTGACGTAGACGCGCTTCTGAGATATCTCCAAAATCGGCATTATTTTGATTGTAATTTCTCTTTGTTGTAATATCGCCGTTCGATAAAATTGTACCATTTTGTTCGACAGACTTGGGTGGAGATAAATCTGAAAGAATAATAACAATGGAGAAGGCAAACATATTTAATCTTAATTTTTGCTTTTGCTTTAACTCTTTTTTTTTCTCTTCTAAATTTTTTAAAGACAAAAGCATGCTATATGTCGATAAAGAAGGTGAAGAGGAGAGAACGTGACATGCTTTATATTTATAATAGTTTTCTTTCCGTAGGTATTAATATTTTTTTAAATTATTTTAAGTCCATGCTATTTTTACATACTTTACCTAATTTCAGGCGTAACACATGCTGCACAAAAAACGCTAATGAGACTATTATTGCAAAAACGCCCGTAAGCAGGCCAACAAAAAAGTCCATAATTTTTCTTTGTTTTCTTTTTCCAAAGATTGGCTTCCGTTGTCTCTTTCTAACATTTAATACATCACATAACAATAGATAGATAATAGTTGCATGCTTTATTATTATGATTATTGTTGTTGTTTTTGTTATTATTATTTTAACGCATATATATATATATATATCTATATATATATATATATATAGTTTCTTTAGAAAATACTATTTTCACACATGTCTCTCTTTTGGTTATTTATTGTTGTAAATTTCTTTTTCATCTTTTCCTTTATAATTTTCTTTTATTAGTTTTTTCTTTTTTTTTTTTTTTGTTTATTTATTTGTTATTTTGTGGTGGTGTTAACCTATTGGAAATTAGTGACCATCGTGCGGTATTTCATTTCACTTTTATTTTCTATTACAATTGAAGTTTACGTTAACTCATTGCCTCATATGGGACTTTTGCTTTCGTATGGAAGCACTTGATTATTTTCTGTTGCTAAGTCCGCTTAAAAAAATTAAGTTGGCATTAGAGTAGAGGGTAATGCTTAAACGTGCCGCAAAAAGCTTTGTATTAGAATAAATGATGATATATAATATTGTACGTACTGTGCTAGGCGTGTAGTAAGTAAGTCTTTTATACCGGCGCAAACAGATCGCCTTTGAAAACCCATAAATCCCAGTATGGTCTGGTTAAATATTAATTATTTCTGGAAGGTAATGACACTGGTCATGGCTTTGTTTAAAAAAGCATTCCACACAACTCAGTTGCTCAGAAAAAGAAGAAAAGAGCGAAAAGATCAAGTAAGAGATCTGTATTCGCTCAGGTCGAATTCTTTGGGTCACGAAGTTCATTCAATTTTAAATTAGAAGTTAGTTACCCAGCAAGCGGGGCCATTTATACTCGACAAATCTTCAAACATTGATAACTAATATAGGTTGAGGGTAATTCATGGTTAAAAAAAAAAAAAAAATGAGTACAAATTCCAGGGTTGAGCACCCTTTAAGTAAATTTTCAAAATGAAACCTATAGCGGGCCGCAATTGACCATAAAATGTCCTTCACTAGTCTTGAGTTATTCATGTAATGATTTTCAAAACAAGGCCTTATAAGGGAACTGATCGAAAAATTGATGCAATCAGAACCATTTTTACTAGCGTTTGTCCATGGATCAAAAGCGGTCAGTGCATCAAATTTCATCAAAATATCTCAAAAGTTGCGTGCTATAATAGAACAAAAAAAAAAAAAAAAAAAAATAAGACGGACAGAGGGACATACGTGTACGTATGGACGGACAGACAAGTTTAAATCAATTCAAAAGTTGCTTAATCGTTCGTTATGTAAATAAAAGGTGAGTTTAGCTCAAGTGCTCTTGGTTGTTTCAACATCCGCACAAACTGAACACAAGTGGTGTAGGGTATAAAAATACTACACTTTATTACAAGAATTGATTTTTAGATATTTATTCGTTTTGGCTTATCGGTTCTTATACTTCCCAAACAAAAGGATGAGCTGTTCAAACAGACTTACGATCTATTACATTATCATACGCCCTAGAATTTTTCATCTTGGGGATATCTAAATGTTTCAAATGCATTGATTACATTTATATATCTTTCTTTATTCTACGATGAGATAGCTAAGAAAATTAATTAATTATGTCACGTAATTTTTATATATAAATTTTTGATTAACATGAAATGTAAAAGAAAATAAATTATTTTTTTTTTTATAAATTATTTCATGTTAACAGAAAATTGAAATGAAAAAAAATAATTTGCAGAAAAAGCGATAATAATAAGCTTTTTAGGCTTCATAATCAAGATTAAAAAAAAATAATAATAATAAATAAATAAAAAATGGCGTGAACATCTTAGTTCAAAAAAAAAAAAAAAAACATAAATTGAGAAAAAAGTTTATAATTCCAAGTTACACTCCTAGACGGTACACAACATTTTCAGCTTCAAAGATTTTTCATAGAAAAGCTATTATATTGAAAACATTGTAAGACAAGCTTCCGTAAAAAGTTGAAAAGACTTGCAAAGGAAAAACCATGACCTATATATACACACGTAAGCTCACAATGTTGTATTTTGCTTTTGTATTGAAATTTTGAATTGTTAAATAAGAGCTTATTAAAAATAAAATTTTATGAGGAAAGCAATTTTTTTTTTTTTTATATACATTGTATAAAAACTAAAAATTGATGAAAGAATCTCTAAACAACGTCAAAGGTTAATATCGTTCCACTGATAACAATAGATTTTAAAAAGAGAATAAGGGCAATTAGGTCACGGGATGTTTAAACTATCAATGAATTTATTGAGGAAACTACAAAATTACTTTAGTTAGCGTAAAGTAAAATGGAACGGACGATGTTCAACGAAATAAGGAATAATTTACTTGTTCATATAATGACTTTTTAAAGTAAGGTCTTATAGGGAAGAAGTGGCGCCATTTGGGTCTTGGACGTATCAGAAACCTGTAGGTTGAATGCAAAAATACATAGGAAGACATCAGACGAACGGATAGGCAGGCAGACAAGCTTAGGCTTTGTTTGCAGGTTGAACACAAAGGGAAGAAATGAACACGCAGACAGACACGCTTAAATCACATCAGAAAGTTATTCCGAATCGATCGATAGAATAAAAGATGAGTCTATCGTTCTCAAGTCCTTTTGTGTTCGCACGAGTTTAACTTGCCTTTGTACCACTTGTGGAATACGGTAGGGAGATACATCAGAAGGATGGATAGAATGGCAGGCAAACAGACAAGCTTAGGCTTTTCCCTGTTACTGAACACAAGAGAGCAAAGTGGACAGGCAGACAGATCCGCTTAAATCAAATCAGAAAGTATTTCCGATTCGAGGGGTATATTAAAAGACCAACCCATCCTAAGTTCTCCGGGATGTTGCATGAATCCGCACAAGCTTAACTTACGTTTGTACAAGTGCTATAGGGTAAAGCAAGTAAAAGCATTATAGTAGGGCAAGGCCGACTTTTAAATACCCTAAATCACTTTGCCTAATACAATTACTCATTTGTTTTTTCGTGATAAATCACAAAATAGCTTGTTGTCTTGTAAAACCCTCTCACCAAAGCCATTACATCGAAGAGTGGAAAAAACGTGAACTAAGGTGATTCAAATATATTTGCGTAGCCCAAATTACATAGCTCAAATGTGAAGTATCAAAAGGAAGAATATGAAATACATAATTACGTAATTACCACGTTTACCACATTGTATTGTATTAAGTTCATGGCTGAAAGCTCTCGCACATATTAACGAGAATGTTATGAGTGAGCTTAAAAATTCTTTTCATTTTTTAAATCTACTTCGTAAGACTCATATGGGAATGCTTGTGGAAGCATTAGTACCAAAGCCAATGATACTTGACATGGTTGGTATTCTCAAGCAAGTAATGCAAGTAATGCAAGAGATGAGAGCAAATAGTTGCTTATATATTGAAGAAATATGCATCAGAAGGACTAACTAACCTTATGTCTTGTAAGTCGATCAGCTGTTCGTTGTTAGGAGAAAATGAAGAAATATAAGAACTTGTCTATGTAGAGCAGATCACATTGAAAATGAGCTTAAGCCATTTCTAATAACTTTAGCATGCCAGTATCTTGGAAGAAAATATGATAATATTTTCCTATCAATCGATGACGATGATGACAACATATATTAAGGTATAAGTGACATTCAGTCAAATTTATGGAAATCAAAGAAGAATTTTCGGTGTAATAAATCACATCATACGCCATCGTCATGCCTACAATTAATAATACGTATATACTGAAGGTTGTTCTAATACAAAAATATTTTCTCTTATTTGCTTTGCATATGCTTGTGTACCGGCAATGAACATTAATTTTAAAGCTAGCTTTTTATATAGCGAATGACAACAGTTATTAACTGCTTTTTCTTAAGTGCACCGTAAATAGCATAGGAATCGATTTAAGATGAATTTAGCGATTTTCGAACTTTGTCCGGCAAAAATCACAATACTAGCAATTAAGACAATAAATAATCTTTCATCACTCATGCAATAATAGAAGGCTAAATAGTTAGAAAAAAAATAAAAAATAAATAAAAAAAGTAAACAAAAATAATTCATTCAGAGTGGAATATTTTTTTAAAAGCAAATCTATTTTCTATATAATTAAAATGCGGAATATTTGCTAAAATTAAAGGTCGAAGAATCATCGTTGGAAAGTAGAGTGAGGCAAAGAGAGTTTTTTTTTTTATAGATGGTACCAATATCACAACTTGCAAGATGTTTGCAAAGGATCGAAAGGTCTATTGGAGTCCACATAAAGAGCATGTTTTCGTATTGGGGATGATATTGCCTTGCCTTGCTAGCTGCTTATCTTACCTGACTAAAACTACAGCCATGACCCGTAACACTTTATCTAGAAGGCAAATTTGATTGCATTTTTTACCGAGCACTTTCGCTCGAGCAAGTTCGAACATCAGGCAAATTGATGAACTGCTTCGCAAAAGGTTTGAAAAGAAACCTCTTACTGAATTTTTCACTTCCTCCTTTCTTAAATTATTCCATAAGTACTTAAGAAGCTCCACCATTAAGTCGCCCCTATCCGGATTCAATCCTCATTGTGGCACATCATATTTGTGATCGTGTAGCCATGATAAGAGTTCTTTCGGTAAAGGCCGATCGGATACACACTCATCAGC